AAAAAAAAAAAAAAAAAGGTGTATTTAATCTAAACTCAAAGTGGCAAAAAAGAAGAGATCTAGGTGAAACACATTTTCACCTTTTGTTTTAAAATGCATATTTGCAAAGATTGTTAAATTATAAAATTTTCTACAGAAATTCAGTAAGATCAGTCATCTCGTACTTACAATGCCATGAATGTTAGTGTACAGATTAGAACTTATTTAAACAGGCCAGCTGGGCTGGTGTTAGGACAGAATCGTTTCTTAGATGCGTAGCCCAAACAGTCACATTTAACAGTGCAACATAGGACAATTCAATCTGCTACTTTCTATGTGCAAAACAGGACATATTTTTTTTTCTATTTTGAAATTCTCATTAGCTAAATATACAGTAGTTGGGTAAATGGTTAACAGACTAATGTATACCGCTTACACATGAACTGCTCTCCCGACTTTCCAGCACAGCACAGCTGGAGAGAGGGGTATGACAATCTGAACAATCACAGCTGTACAATCTTAACGTGCTATATTATCTTAACATGTATAGTCTAAAAGTTATTAGGCAAATTATCATTTCCAGTCTTACTCCATGATTTATAGCTCTCATCATTTGAAGTTACACAAAAGTCTTCAGTATTTTAATTGAAGATTTTGTCCAGACCCAGGAACACCACCAACTTTTATTGTGATTTTAGGTTTGTAACATTCACTGAAGTAAGGAATCAATTACGGTCTCGGGCTTTGCTGAACGCTTTCTGTTTGGGGAAGACAAAAAGACAGCATGAATGCTTCCATAAAAAGACTGGTACAACAACACTTTAATTATGTAGTGGAAAAGGCAGGGTGGCCGCAGTCTGGGAATGGCCCACATCTGGTTCATGCCCCCTTCTCCAAGCGGGGGGAGGTCACCTAGATTAGGTACCACTCTGTGGTGTTCCACAGCTGGGCAGATGAGAGTTTCAGAACAGGACTAAGTAGGCTGTGTGCTTACCAGACCTTAACCTCCTAGTAATCTCCTGTGAGATCTGCTAATGATGCAGATGGACTCCAGGACAATCAGGGACACAAACAGAAATCACCTCACAGAGGCACACGCAGGGACCAAGGAGAATGCTCTGCTAATGTGCTGCGTCTACTGCTGTTTTGTCCAGCACACTGAACTGGTCTCTCGTGTGGTGCACCGTATGGAACATGCCATGTGATTAACAGAATGTCACCGGTAAGTCACGGGACACGTGTCCATGTATCTGGCCATCTCGGATTCTCACCACATAGCACACCAATTCTGACACAGAGAGATGCTGAGTTTGGCTCACATGTTGGCTCATATTTTTGAAGGTTAAATTTTTTCAAAGTACATAATTTTACAATGAGATTTACAGAAGTTCTGGTATTTGTTATAGGTCTACACAGTGAGAAAAAAAGAAGGAACTAAAATTTGAGAAATATCACATAAATAATATATATTTTTTCTTAGAAAAGACTAAATATAGAAACAGTGGGCCTTCTATTCCCACAACTAAATAGGAACAGAATAAGCGGCCAACCACTTAGAACTGCTCCTCAGTTTGTCCCAGTCTGCTCCACTGCCCGTTTTTGTCCTACACTAGGGCCAACTGTCTTAGCATTTACCATCACCTTTTCACTGTCATTTTGCTTACTGTGGGGAAAATGATTTTATTAAAAGTGGAAAGTAAATGGTCTAAAAGAGCCAGGCGTGGTGGCGCACACCTGTAATCCCAGCATTTGGAGGCTGTGGCAGGAGGACTGCCACGAGTTCAAGGCCAGCCTGGGCTACATGGTGAGTTCCGGGCCAGCTTGGACTACACAGCAAGACCCTATCTCAAAAAAGCAAGAAACAAAACAAACAAACAAAATATCTTAAAAACCTTGTGTTTCTTATAACTGAAATGTTTCATTCCTTAGTATAAGAGTTTTAAATCCATCTAAATTCTAAAGAATACAAACATTTGTGCACTTCTAACACGCAACTTATTCTTCCCACCCTTAGGGTCAACCAGCCCAAATTTATAAGTATTAGGTTATGTCTATGAGATTCTATAACACAAAACCTTAAAATCATAGTTTCACCCTACATAAAACTCAAAAGTACATGACCTGACCAGGGATGTAGCTCAGTGGCACCGTGCCTGCCTTACAAGCACAAGGTCCTGAGTTTGATCCCTGGTTTAAAAAAAAAAGAGTATAAGACCTCGAATGTGGGGGGGTGTTACATTTTACAATTTTAGGAGGTACAAGGTCTTGCAATCATCTTAGGTAAGTCGAATAGTGAGTATGTACTTGAAGAGAGGGGGAGTAGAACTAAGTGCCAGCCCAGGCGCTCACCTCTCAATATCCCTGGGCTTAGATGACCATCCTGGTACACTGCCCAGTGTCCACAGCAGACACCTTCCGGTGCTCAGAAAACATCTCTGACAGGTAACTCAGGAAATCAAGGTACATGGGGGCAGTGTTTATGACAGTAAAATGGACCAGCTGAATACACTACTTTGAAAGTCCAACTGAATTAATAATGTACATTTTATTAGGAGAATTAGTATAAGAATTAAGAAATTAAAGGTAGTGATGTTATGCACTTTGAAAGAAAAAACTGAATTTAAAACATTCTATTACTCATGAAACAAAGAAATGAAAAGACCTTAATTCTTTAGCCAAAATTCATTTACTCAAACTGTAACTACATAAGGAATTTTACTTTTAATATATTAGCCAAAATATTTATAATGTTAACTCTTTTTTTGGAGTGGGTACTAGGGATCGAACTCAGGACCTTGGGCCTGCGAGACAGGCAGAGGAACCACTGAGCTAAATCCCCAGCTCAATATTAACTCACTCTTATGTTCCTTCTATTGTGTCTAATTAGCATGTTTCCTTGCCATCACTTCACAGGTACCATGGGGGGTCCTTACCGTCTCCCCATCTTTGGCCTTGCTTTCCCCTTCGAAGTCCGCGGCCTTTCCAATTTCATCAAAGACTGACGTAGACTCTCCTCGGTATAGGCGAGATACACATGGGAAAGGTCTACTTCAAAGGGCTAAGGGAAGGGAACAAAGGACGCTCTCATAGGAGTTAAATCACATTTGGGGCGAGATTTAAAATGCTAAATAAAACACCTAGAAAGTGACATAGAAGACAAAACCAAATAATGTGGAAAGACACCCTTTAATTCTAGTAGCTAAAAGGTATTCCCAAGGAAAGAAAAAAAAAATTTTTTTAAAAGGTATTCCCCACAAAATGGTAACAAGAAGCCCTGACACACTATAAATTTCCTCAAATATCAAGAAAAATCACTGCTGTTTTCCTTAAAGCTACTCCCTCTTCTTGCTAACCTAGGAGTAGAAACAGCGTTGAGAAGGAAGACGACACAATCTATCCCCTCACCACGTCTAGATGACGCACAGAGCTGTGAAAAGAAGGCTCTGAAGTGACTCCATTATGGTGGCAGAAATGCTGTCAGCCATCGTGATTGAGCAGGACACTGGGCAGAACTGTCCTAATCTCCTGATCCAAGAGCCTTTATTCCCAAAACATGAGCCCACTGTTCAGCAGAGGTGGTTAACAGGTTTGTTAATACCATTTAATGACCCACATTCCTATAAAGAAACAAATGTAGTTTAGGAAAAAAAAAGTACTCTTACATCTTTCTCCTTTTTATCAGGTACTGGGGTTTGCTTCCTCATGTTATTTCCTGTATAGGCAACACATTTCTCAAAAAAGAAAGGGGGAGAAGGGAAGAAAAGTCTTAATTAGTAATTAGTGCTGTGAATTAGATGAAGTGCTGTGAGGTATTCTGATGCTTCACTAGTAAAACTTGACTTAAATGCTTGTGAAAGGGACCCAGAGGGCATTCAGTCCCACAAAGCCCTGACCTAGACCATTTCTAACTATGATTTCTGTGTTATAATTATTAGAAAGACATCTCACTGGTGAACCTTTCAGAGCTCTCGAGGGTGCAAACAGCCCACGGTGGTACCTGTACCATAGGTTTGCCACCACTGTCTCATCTGCTCCATTAAATTCTCACATGAGACACTGCACCACCTCCGGCCTCCCCAGCCCAGCAGCCAGTATAACTCCACTCCACATGAAGCCCTCCACAAGTACCTCAGGAAAGAACAGAGCTAGTACTCACCAGCTGCCACTCTCCTATGTCTTCATTCCAGTGGACATAGTTTTCAATCATCTCCTTTTAAAAGAATCAAAGATAGACTGTTTTTAATACTTAATAATAAAGTTAACCACAAAACACTATATACTGCATGATACCCTTTAAGGTTTATATCTAAATTGTCCCTCCAAATTCTCATGTATGTAAAAAGTGATTAGAACATAGGGTGCTATACTCACAATAGATTCTTCTACTGATGAACTTAGTAGCTTAATATGCTGTTAGGAAGAGGGGCTGAGCTGGGGCATGACCTGAAATGGCATGTTCTTGTCCTCAGATCCTCCCTTCTATGTTTCATGGCTGCCGTAAGTACAGCACCTTTCCCTCTGCAATGCCTCTGTGTCATCTTGTTTCTACCTTGGGACTCTGACAACCATGAATTGAAACCACGAGCAAAAATGTAACTCTTATTTTAAGTTGCAGGTGCCAGATACTGTGTTTCAGTGACAGGAAAGTGACAAGAAAAGAAGCTGCTATAAGGAGTGGGATCATTGGTATGACTGTACCAGACCAGGTGGTTCAGGAGCCTTTGCAAGTGGCTCATGGGAGAAGTCTGGAAAGGCTTAGTGATGCCTTAATCTAGAGAAGCCCTAGAGAATGCTGTAAGCTGAACTTAATGGAAGATTCTGCTCAGAGCTCAGAAGACCAAAATGTTAACAAAAATGCGGACACTAAAGGTCAGGCTCAGGGGGCTTCAGCTGGGAAAAAGAATTCCACTGGTAGTTAGACTATAAAACATGTATGGTATACTCTGGCAGAGAATTTGCCTACATTTTGCCTATCTCCTGAGATTCTGCAAGATAAAGAGGTTAAGGTTGGTTGACTAATTAATCTGGCAGAGGAAATTTTAAACAGCACAACATTCAGGCTGTACCATGGGTACTGTGAGCTGCTTTTTGTCAGGTTTACAGTAAGAATCAGGAGGAAAACAGCAAAGCTCAATGATCTGAAGTTTCCAGTTTGGCCAGAAAGGAAGTGCCTGAAAAGTTGAGGCAAAGGAGAGCAGGGCTGATGAAACATTAGCAGAAAAAAAGAAGCCAAGTATTTTACATTAAGATAAGAGAAAAGATGACCAGGGGCATCTGAGGAACCAGCAAGACCCTCACCCTTTGCAAGCCGAAGGGTGCAAAATGATGACATTTTTATTTAACTAGAAAGCCCCTGGGTTCCTGCTTAAGAAGGGCTTCCTAGTGAACTGATTTCCCACGCTTTACTTCATAGTGCTAAACCATCTAGGCACTCAGAGGCCTCTGCAGCCATAATTCAAGGGGGTCTGGCTACTGCTCGAGCTGGCAGCAGAACACAGCATCATTATCTATATGGTGCTAGTTTTTCAGGCAGGTCAAATGCAAGAGCTGTGAGGCCTGGGTAGCTTCTACCCAGATTTCAGAAGAAGTATGCCTCTGAAAGGGCTGTGTGTGAAGTTGTGAGAGTGCAGTGGGGACCCCAAGATGTCAAGAGATGTTAGAAATGTGGCACTTCTGTTGAGAAAGCCATAGGCAGTGATGAGTGAAGCCAGCCCAAGAGAGGCTGTGACCAGCAAAACTGTAAAGGCAGGGAATCCAAGCCCCTTGGTACTCGCATCTCCCTACAACTTCCCCTGGCTGCTGGACACAGAATTATAGGATTTAATGTTTGTCCTGAGGGGTTTGCTTCAGTCACATTCCTTTCTATCCGCCTACTTCTCCCTTTTCCAATGGAAATGTTTACCCTCTGGCATTTTATGTTGGAAGTATTTAACTTTCTTCTTGAGTTTTACAGGGGCTGAAATAAAAGAGTATGACAAGTCACAGAAAAGCTCTGGACTTGCACTTTTCAGCAACAATGGAACTGTTAAGACTTTCACGACTTAAAAATGGACTAAATGCATTTTGCATAATTAGATGGTCACAAGCATTTGGGGGCCCAGAATATTATGGTTTAGATATAAAATGTTCCCCCATCACTTCTCGGCCTTTTGGCTAAGATCAATAGTAAAATGTTCCCCCAAATTATTTTTTCTGTTTTTTTTTTTGGTACCGGGGATTGAACTTGGGTCCTTGCGCTTGGGAGGCAGGCAGTAGAACCACTATGCTAAATCCCCAGCCCTGTTCCCCAAATTCCTAAGTGTAAAAGGTGACTGGAACATGGGAGCCCTATGTGCTGAATGTGCTGTTAGGAGGTAAAGCCTTTTCAGAGGTGCTTCCAGGCTGCCATGGGTAAGCACCTTTTCTTTCCCCAGGTTATCTGCCATCTTTTCTGCCTCTTAGCCAGCTAATCATGGACTATAACCATGAGGCAAAAGCAAACTTTCTTCTTTTAAGTTGTCGGTGTCCAGTACTATGGCTCAGGGACATGTCAGTGACTGATACCCTTTTTATAAATTTTAAAATACATAATTTTTTGGGAATACACATAGATACATTAAAGTATAATAAAAATAAAAGCCAAGAGTGATAACATGGTAACAGGATAATGAGTATGCTGGGTTGGAAAAGGCAAAGGGACGGAAGAGGGTGGGGAGACATTTGGCTATGCGTAGGTTTCTATCAAGGTCCTACCTTTTGTTCTGGGAGACAAGCTCACTACAAAAGCACTAAAGAAAAGCAGGCCCACTAAGGACCAATAATAAGAGTATGTCATAAATCCAGATTAATTCTGTACATCTGAAGTCCAAAGGAAAAAAATACTTATGCTGCTTTTCAGATAAATTTCTACAAGCTGTACTGAGATTCAAAAAAAATTTTTTTTTTTTTTTTTTTTTTTTTTTTTTGTACTAGGGATCAGACTTGGGTTCTTGCGCTTGCAAGGCAGGTGCCAGAACCACTGAGTTAAATCCCCGGCCCTCAAAACAGATTTTTTTACAACATCAAAATGTTAGTTTTTATTTTGCTTTCAGTGCTGGAAGTGAAATATGTTAAAATTTTTTAAATGTACTTGGCATTAATGTTGGCTACGAAAAAGAGGACAAAACTTAAAACATTATTATTAATATTAACAAGTATCATCCACATGGAGATGAACGGTAGTGATGGCTGCACAAGAATGTGAAGGTGCTTAATGTTACTGAACTGTAGGCTTAAGAATGGATAAAAGAATCCATGATGGGCCCAGAATGTAGCTCAGTGGCACTGCACCTGCCTCACAAGCACAAGAACCTGAGTTCAATCCCTGGTACCAGGAAAAAAAAAAATCGTGCTATGTATATTTTATCATTGAGACACACACACACACACACACACACACACACATACACACACACACAGAATTAGCAACCATAAGCAAGGACAAAAAGCACAGATGTTCTGTTTATTCTATTTATATCATAAAAGATGTTGAATCAACGAACAGGCAAGTACTGTGGTTCTGACTGCATTTACATAAACCTGAGTTCCTCCAAAGGAGTGAGAAATTCTTAGACACTCAAGAAGAGAATTACATATTGAGGAAAGTTAACTAATGTGAGATATGACAGCATATTCAAGAAAATTATATAGATGATAATTGAAGTGCAAATAATTACCATTAATTAAATCAGAAGTTATATTTCTATATTCCTTAACATCTGCCAAGTGACCTGATTTTTATGTCAGAGAACTTCCCATATACCTGATAATCCTGAGGTATGAAGTTATCAATAATAAGCATCTGAAGTCGAAGTTCCCGACTAAGCTGACGAATGTTCTCCAATAGTCCTTCAATTTCCCTCTGATGCTCTTGTTGGAGATCGGCCGTCTACCGGAAGAACCATGAACATTTCAGCAAACAAGATTTTAAATACTAACAGTTACAGCTGACATACAGTGCTAGTAAGAGGATTTCTGAGCGCTTACTCAGTTCTTTTACAAAAATAGTATTCCAGGTTATTAGCTATGGTTAGAAAAAACAACCTAGCTTAATAGCTAGAATTAAAAATTGTACATAAAGGAAAAATATATCTTTAAAATTGTAAGCATACATTAAGATTACTTAGAAATTCTTAATCTTAATCAAAGGAACCTCTTTTAAAAATCCAGAAATACATTAGAAGGTAATTTCAAAGAAACTAACCTCTGACTTTGCAGCCATCAACATAGTCCAAACTTTTTTTAGTTTCTTGGTCTTTCCTTGTGCTTCCTCTTGCAAACTGGTATATTTTTCTTCAATGTCCAAGCGTTCTTGCTATGATAAAATTGGTAAACTTCAGTATAATTTTTGTTGTTGATCACTGATTTAACATTTAACAAATGACAAGTTTGGCAACAACTGTCCTCAAAATAATCTGCCTTAAAATTTCATTAAGATTATAGGTATTTAGCTTTCCTCTGGAAAAGTTAAATATCTCTAACAAAGTATTAAAACTAAAAGTCACAAAGTCACCTCACCTCTTTCTCCTCAAGTTCTCTGCGAAGTTGCTCAGCTCTTTTTCTCCTTTCTTCCAGTTCCATATTAGATTCCTCAAGAAGTTTCTCTTGTTCCTCAGCTTTGGCCAACAAATCAACACCACCAACAATTACCTTCTTCTCCAGAGCAGATAATTTTTCCAGCAAAGACTGATGCTCTTGTCTATTGATTAAAATAAGAATATTCTAAATTTACCAATCTTCTACTGTTCTAATATTTCCCAAAACTTATTAAGAAATTGTACAATTTCAAAACAGAAATATAATTATATAACACCTCTACCACTTTGTAGATACTACTTTGTAATATCAATCAATTCGTAATTCAATCTATAATTCAAATTCACTGATACCTTTTCCTCCTACACAGAGACAATCAAGAGATCTAATTTTTAAAAATACGTCACATGTGTGGGATCTTCCCCACCACCACCACCAAAGAGCTACAATACGGACAAAAATCAGGCTTTTAACTACTGTGCAATTTTCCTGCTTAGATATCCTATTAAAAATAATGACAGTTAAATCAAGAGTCCATCTCAGTTCAGTAATACTCACTGGGCTTTTAAAAGATCTTTTTCCCGTTTCTCTAATTCAGCTCTAGCCTTGTTTCTTTCTTCTTCTTCCATATCAAGCTTTGTTTCAAGTGCTTTTCTCTCCTCATCAATTTTTGCTTGCATTTCCACCATCTTATCTGGAGAGACTTTCTTTTTACCTATTTGAGTCATTTAATTATAATAATCACTAAAACGAGTCACTGTTTCAAATTAACTTCAAGAAAGAACTGCCATGAGTCTTCAATAATACAAAACCAACTATCAGCATGTTAAAGAAATCAACCCAATAGTATTTCTCATTTCTATTTACTATATTAGGTAATGCACTAGGTGGATTTGTTAATTCATTGCTAAATTCAAATTGCTGTCCAACTGTACAATGACATCTAAGAACCAAAAAAGAGTAAGTGAAAGAGAAGCAAAATAAATGCGCAAATAAACAGGAAAAGATTAATATTAAAGCTAATAAAAAAGATGTCTGTGTTTCTAAATAACAAGTGTAAGTTTTAAAAAAGGTAAAATGATTCTTCAGTTACTTTTTCCTGATAATTAATACAAAACGCAGTGATTTCTCAAAATTCCTTCACCCCAATTGCATAAATGCACAGATATATAGGTATAAAATGCAGATTAAAATATCACAGAATTTATATCATGTGGTTTAATTTTTTTTCAGAGGGCTTTCTATAAATCTTACTATAAAAATTACTAGAAAGACTCTTACATAAAATTACTAGGAAGTATTTTCAGGCAGTGTATACTTTTTAGTTTTTGTTGTTTGAGACTACTGCGTAGCCCGGGCTGGCCTCAAACCCATAATGATCCTCCTGCCTTATTCGCCCAGGTGCTGGGATTACAGGTGTGCACCACCACACCCAGCTATCAAGGTATACTGTTAAAGGAAGAAATTCTATCTAGTCATGTAAGTTACATAGTAATAAACCAGATATTTTAGGGCTGGTGAGCTATCGTGCTTTATTATTATACCCTAAGTGAGCAACTATACCAAACTCAAATCTGCAATCTCCTAACTCAGATTAAACATGCAATATGTCAAATATAAGGAAAAATAAATCAGGGACACAGCTTCCAATGGATTCTTTTTATAATAATGTCTAATAGAGTGAAATGTAACAGGAACCCAATAAAAATTTATGGATTTCAGAATAATGAAATTCATATGAAAAATTGAAAAGAGAAAATAAAAACTAGCTGAGTGAAATGATTGTGAAACTGAATCAGTGACAATTCATTTCTGGAAACCCAATTTCTTAGAAACATATGTTCCTTCAGAAAACCAAACAAACTTTTCGCAGAATTGGTCTGAAGCACTCCTGAAAGCTCTGTCATTCTTAACTTCCTTACCAAAGGACTGGAGAAAGAGTATAAACCAGAAGAATTTATAAACTGTTAATGTCTCTACCCAAAATCCATTCCCTCCTGCTAACAAGAAAAAGAATTGAAAAATAATTATGATGGAGATAAAGTACACCTGAATATAGTATTTTAGGAAATGAAGAATCATTCATAAAATTTATTAAACTCTTTAATACAAAATTAGACAAAAAACTCAAAATATATTATCCTCCATTTCTGCAGAACTATAAATTAAAGCAAAACCTAAGTCACAAAACAAATTAAATAAAAGAGTAAATAAAAGCACTGATCCATATTCATGCTTTGGTGTGGTGTGATTCATTGCATTCCGAAAGTCAGGACGTGAACCTGACTCTGGTGGCTTGTTTGGCACAGTCATCTGTATAGAAAACCTGTTGAATTACTGTTAAAAAAATAACTTTTAAAAGTAATTTAACTCCTATTCCCAATGAGGACCTAGAAAATGTTTCCTATCAGCAAAACTATTTCTTAGATATATTTCAGGGAGAAAAGTACAACTTTGGGTTTATAGTAAAAACTTGTAACTTCCTTTCCACTTCAGAATTGCAAATACTTAAAAGGAAAAGTGGCTAAAATGTAAAGATCAAAATAAGATGCATGAAATTATCTCATCAACAAATGAACTAAGTACCTTTAGGCTTCTAACTGTTTTGTTAGTATTTAAAAACGTAGTTGGCAGGGCATAGTGGCGCATGTCTATAATTTCAGCACTCTAGAGGCTGAGGCAGGAGGATCACCATGATTTCTAGGCTAGCTTTGGCTATACAGCAAGACTCTATCTCAAAAAACCAAAAAACCAAAAAACCAAAACAAAAAATGCCCCCCGCCAAATAGCTCAAAACCCATTAAGAGTAAAACAAACAAAAAAAGTAAAAACATAAAAACTCATGACTTGATTAATTAATACTATGCCTGAATTATATTAGTAATCCAAAGTCATTTAGATAATTTTTTCGAACTGATGCTTTGGCAGCAAAAATCTTTGTGTGTGTGTATGTGTGTGTGTGTCGGGGATCGAACTTGGGAACTTGTACTTGCGAGGCAGGCAGCAGAATCACTGATCTAAATCTCTGGCCCTGGCAGCAAAAATCTTACTGCGCTCTTCTAACATTCATGAAAATTAGCAAGAATACATAGCTTTTTTTTTCTTTTTCTTTTTTTTTCTTGAGACAGGGTCTCACTATGTAGTTCAGACTGGCCTTGAACTCACTATGCAGCCCAGGCTAGCCTCAAACTCATAGTGATCCTCCTGCCTCAGCTTCTTGAGTGCTGAGATTACAGGTGTGCACTACCATGCCCAGCTAACTTTGAAGTCTAATTAGGTAAAATGTTACTCTAGCAAGAATTGCTCTGAAAAATCACTGTATTTTTTCAAATAACACTTTAAGCTAAATATGAATATGTGCCAACATCCTAACAAGGCACTTCAAAACAAAGCATCACTAGAAGTCAGTTTTATATGTATTTTAAGTGAATTTTTTTACCCTTTAGATACAACACTTTGTCTCCAGAGGATTGGCTTCAGGAATACAAGGACTGCTTTAAGTCTGGGGGAGACTGGGAATACAGGAAGGAGGAGCCTGCACTACAGGAGCACCAAGGTAAACTGACGTCTCTGACCCTCTGATGAGAGGAGAGACTGTGTTATATTAGTTACTTTTTTATGTGGGTATTGGAGCTGTGGCTCAGTGACACAGTACCTGTCCAGCCTGCACAAGGCCTTTGGTTTGACACTCAGCATCGCTTTCATAACAGTAACAAAACTCTTTATCAACCAAATCAATCTATCAAAAAAAAAATCTTTCTATTATTGCAGGGTAAAATTCAGTAGAAAACTTTGGGTAAAAAAATCTAAAAACAAAACAGTTAATGCCATAAAGAATATATAATTATGCCAAACAGAACTGGCAACATTTTAAGTTGCCTTCTGCCATGTGCTCTAAACAAAACTGTGAAAAAGAACCAGCAAGGGAAAGCAAGAGGGAGGAACTTCATAGAGGGCTAACTGAATGAACTTCATTTTTACACATGAACACTCATAAGCGCAGGTAACAAGAACCTCACTGTTGGCTTTAAAAAGAGGAAAATGTTAGGATACAAAGTCACAAATTTATTTTGAAAATTTGGCTTAATGGGTCTTTAAGAATTTAGGAAAAAAATTGAGAGATTTTTAAAACATAAAAGAAGGATACTTACCTTGCAAAAAGTTATTTATTTTTAAAAATGTAATGTATTTAAATAACAAAGTTCTTTATAAGTTAAGTAATTGTACTAAGTGGAGTGCAAATCAATCACACCAACCTGCTTGATCTTGCAATAAGAAGTGGTAAGCAAATCGTAGACAGGAAGCATATGCACAGAGATGAGGAGGAAAAAAAGGAAAACATTATTTCCTTTGTAAAACAAAGAAAAATGTATAATAGCATTAATTTATAGTATAAGTGTAGAAACCATTATCAAAACTGAAATAGAGCTCATGTAAAAAGAAAACACATTCAGTACTATGAGAGATCTAACTCAGACAGGATAGTAAGGTTGAGTCTAAAATTACAAGTCCAATCTGTACCAACAGCTCACACTGCCTCGAAAACTCCTGTGAGTGTAACAGCGCAGGACCACGTGGCTATGCTAACAGTAGACACGGGACTGGGGGCCAGCTAAGACCTGGGAAATCATCTAAAGGGGCAGAACAGAAAATTAAGCCAATTTTTAAAAAATCAGTAAGTTAAGAGTAACAAAAGTAACATTGTAAAAAAATTTCCCAATTCAATGTTTCTTCTAGTATCCATAACAGGTGTGCTCCATTTTAAGAAAATCTAACGCAAAAATCTGAAACAATTAAAGAGACAAATTAGTTTACAATAATTTGCAGTGATTATTTGATTAACAAACACATATTTTTGGTATTGGGAAGCAAACTTTGGACCTTGCATTTGCCAGCCAGGTGTGGCACCACTGAGCTAAATCCCCAGTCCTTAACAAACAGATTTAATGAAGAATGTTTAAAGACAGCAATTTCATAGTATACTTGATTTTCCAACTTGATTTGTAAGCATTTTTTTTTTTTGTACCAGGGATCGAACTCAGGACCTTGCACTTGTGAGGCGGGCGAAATCCTCGGCCCAATTTGTAAGCATTTTTTAAGAAAAAAAAAAAAGATTACATCAAATGAAGCACACCTGTATAGCAGCAAACTTGCACTTAGCCTATTAGTAGACTGTTAAGGATAATCATAACGAAGATTCTCTAGAAGTAAATGACAACTGGTGATTCAAGCAAGGGACACCTTAAAAAAAGGCCATTCACGTTTTTTAAAGGAAGGACACAAACACACCAATTACACAAGCAATCACATGCTGGGACAACATCTCTTCATTTCACCAATATACCTATGTTACACCAAAACATTATGAGCTAGGTGTATAAATAGTAATTACAACTTCTTGAGTTGAAGAAAGTACAATTCACTTCATAATGTACTTTTTCACATCACTAAGAACTCAGAGTTGTAAAACAGAAAACTAAACTTTAATGCTTTTCCCTCAGATATTTCAGTTTCTAATACAAAATTATAGCTCTATACAGTCTCTAAAGTAACTTCATGTGTTTTACAAATTATACTCTGAAATTAATTTGTGTGTGTGTTTTTGAGACAGGGTCTCACTATGTAGTTCAGCCTGGTCTTGAAGTTATTATGTGGCCAGGCTGGCCTCAAACTCATGGTGATCCTCCTGCCTTAGCCTCCTGAGGGCTGGGATGACAAGGGTGTCCCACCACATCCAGCACTCGGAAAGTAATTGTTCTGGTAATTTGCTCAAAAATTATCAATAGACCACAACAGTTTTGATATCCTTGAAATTCTTCCTCTAGAAACTTATACAAAAAATAATTATTTCTATTATTAGTTTTGAAAAGGTAAGTACTGTATATAGATAATGCTCTAAAAGACAGTAAGCTGCAAGCTGGTATAAAAGTAAGACCTCCCCTTTCTTCTAAACATAAACCATACTAGATAAAATTAAATAATGCTTTTCAACTTAAGAAATTTAAGAAAAAGGCCTATAAGTTTGAAGTAAGCCTAGATAGATCCTGCAACAAAATTTTATTTGGGGGGGTACTGGGTATTGAACTCAGGACCTTGCACTTGTGAGGCAGGCGTGGTTCCACTGAGATACATCTCTGGCCCAGCATCAGCTTTTTCATGTGATTCTGAATTCCATAGAATTCACCTTAGAAAACTTCTTAAAGTCAGGTAATTTAGAAATGGAGATAGATGTCCCTTTGAAATAAAGTACTACTCAATTTATCTTTACTTATTTTAGACTTTACATTTTTCTTTGAGAGCCTTCAGTCTTAAGCTATTGCTGACAATAGGACATACCAAATTAGAAAGTACAAAAAATAACTGTATGAACATGTTATAATGGGTATGGTGTACTGCCAAATACAATCTACACTTTTAGAAATTCAGAATTTGTTGTTACATATCTCTTGTGCTGACCAGGATTAAAATTTTATAATGAAACATACAAATGGACTGTAAGAATTGTTCTTTTACACAGCTTACCAGCTCTCTTTACATTATCTCAACTGCAAAAGCATGAATCTCTCTTCCATTGTCTCAAACATATGTTTTAACAATCATGGTTAACAGAAAGCAATGAAGGGGGCAGGGAAGTCATCACATGCTTTGTTCTACTCAGAAGCCCAATGTGTGTATGTATTCTTCAAGTAATGATGGGAGCGGTGCAGCATTTCTCAAATGAAGCCCATGGGTTATGGAAAAGCCAAAGCTCTGTTAGAGAATTACGAGCTACCACTCACTAGGCAAGAGCTTATCCAGAGGTTTCTCTATGACAGAACAGGTGGAGTCTGAACTACTGCTGCTGCTACTGCCTAGGAGACAAAGAAATGAGCCCAAAGGGAACCAAGCGAAGAGGAAACAGAAAATGAACACATACATGGCGAAAACTTCAGATTAAAGGACAATCAAGTTCTGTAATAAAAAACCAAAACTTACTTTCCCTGAAAACCAGTGTTCATAGTAGCCTAGCCAGTATTTTCTACTTCACAAAGCCACTGTATTTCTTTAAAGATTTATTGTGGTCAAATCCCCTTACTCATCTAAAACAATAATTCAGAGGATGGAAAGGATGAGAATAAAAAGAAGTAAGTCATTTGGTGACATTTAAGTCTATTTAAAATAGGTCGATAAAGGAACAAAGTCTTAAAACTTAGTCACACAGTGTTCTAGGAATGATAAATTACTCCTCAGGATGGCCTGTCTCCAATTTCCCTTTCTCCCTCAAAACATCAAACTTTCAAATATAATTATGTATGGTTAAGGTTTGACAACAAAACTGAAAAGGCTCACTAAAATATTTTAATTTCTAGCCTAGAAGGAAGGTGTAGTACTATTAAATATTTTAATATATTAAACGGTTGCATTTTTCTACTTACAATTTTATTCATTGATTTATTTTGGTACCAGGGATTGATTTTTTTTTTTGTGGTACCAGGATAGAACTTGCACTTACAAGGCAGGTGCAATGCTGCTGAGCTAAATACCCGGTCCAGATTGAATAGAATTTTATTTTTAATGAACCCACTATGTGCTTTGGCTTGGGAAAGAATAGTTTACTCTCAAAAACAAGTTGTAAAACTTTTCTCTAAGCCAGAAGTTGACAAATATTTCCACAAAAAACCCTAGGTACTGTAAACTCCTTAGGTTTTGCAGACCACATGCTTTCATGTGAAAGCAGCCATTGACCATATATAAACATATGAGCATGGCTACTTTAATAAAACTGTACTAACCAAAACAGACAGGGGTTGTACTGTGTCAGCCTTTGCTCTACATCATGCTTTTCCTGTCTTTTGAGTTTATATAATTTTGGGATTCCCGACCAAGCAGTGATGGGTTTATTTTCAACAAGATCTTTTAAATAAAACAAGTGAAATATGCATCAGCTTGAAAACAATGAATCACATTAATGGAAGAGAGTTCTGAAAGAAATATTTAGGGTAAGAAGTTGGAAATGTAGGTTATGATAATATGTCTGTCTCTTCTGCATATCTTGCTATATCCTTAGCATAACACAGTCTTACTTTTTTTTTTTTTTTTTTTGGTTTTTCAAGGCAGGGTCTCACTGTGTAACCCAGGCTGCCCTTAAACACAGTGATTCTCCTGCCTCAGCTGTCTGAGGGCTAGGATTACAGGCAGGTACCACCACACCCAGAACTTATTCTTAATAATAACATTGCAACAGAGCAAGGATAGTAATTTTATAAAGAAAAATAATTTTAAAATCCTCATATAAATTTATTATTTAAAATTTCAATGACTTCTAAAAACAAACCTTGCTTGAGGAAAACCTCCACATTATCCTAATTTCCTAAAAATATAGGTTTTCAAATGGAAGTCCCCACATAAAACTGAAATCCTAAGTAAATTTCAAAATGGTACATCTGCTACATTCGTTTTTATAACTCTAAAAAAAAAAAAAAAAAAAAAAAAGACCAGAGAGCATTCTGAGTCAGTTATAAATGGTAGATCAGAATTGGACAAAAACTGCACAGTTAACCAGGTATATGACATACATCCTCCTAAAGGCAATGGTAACTAAAAATGGCAAAATAAAAGGTATGTACTCCACTGCCTAAGGCCTATGAAAGTATCATAGGTAGCAATCCTTGTTAATTCCCACCAGTCAGAACCCCTAGTACTTACCCCTTCTCTTTTTCCTTTTCTCTCCATCTTCTCCAACCTCACCCTCTTCATCATCATCTTCCTCCGACCCACTGATATCAGATCCTGATATTTCTTCCCCTTGGAAATGAAATAGAATGATTTTTAGTTTAAACCATGCCATTGGCTATTTAGGAAATGCTTATAATCAATTTTCTTCATTAAGTCTTAGTTGTCTCAATACAAATTTAAATGCTATTTTACTGCTCCTAAAAATATATCGGGTATGGTAATCTAAATAATTAAGATATACACAGAGACTTTCTTTTTAAAGTCTCAAAACGTAAGTTAAACTTTGACCCAATTAAAATTTTAAACCATTATTTAAGTATAGATATAAATATGTATAAAGATCATGAGTAATTAATTCAGTCTTCTAAAACAGCAATCACTTTGAGGAAACATTTTATTTTTATTTTTCTCTTTAAGATTTTGGGCTGGAGATTTAGCTCAGTGGCGCCGCACCTGCCTCACAAGTGCAAGGTTCTAAATTTGATTCCCTGGTACCCCCCCAAAAAAAAAATATATATATATATTAAAGAGCCACAAAACTGTCACCTAATACAGTGATCTCAGTTTTAGGACTATATCATAGAAATATTTCAAAAGTTGAGCTTATGTGTATAAAGACAATGTTAATTACATATTGACTTAAAGATTTAAAAATCCAATAAAAATAACTAAACTGATGTTAATTCAGATTAGTGCTATATTAACTTCAAATTAGTCATTTAAAAAATATCACTATCCACAAATGAAATGTTTAAGAAAACAAAGGTAACTGGTGAGGTGGGATAAAATACATACAAATCACAACCAGGTAACAGTTCCTATAAATAAAGATGGAAAAAGAAAAGAGTCTTTGGCAAAAAAAATCACTAAAAATATTTTGTTTTGGGGGCTTAGAAATAGTGGCTTCGCAACAATAAGCAAGCACTCCTAGCACCCAAACTTTGGTTTCTAAATACCATTCACCAGGAAAAGGGACCAGGGAGAAAAAGATGATTCTAAGGAATTGGTAAGGAAGATACAAGATCAGCTTAAAACATCTTATAGTCCCAGACAGAAGGGAAGTACCTAAAAATAACCTGATGGGAGCAAGCTGAAACAGTAACAGAAACTACCTGAAGGAGCTCCCAACAGTCCAAGGTGAGACAATTTGAGGAAAAAAAAAAAAAAAGATGATAGTATTGGATTATAGTCCATGGGCTAAGTAAATACTTGATGAAATAAATAAATGGAGGAGAAAAGACTCTTCTTCTTCCTTAAAACAGAATTCCAAACACTAAGCCCCAAAGGAACGATGAGACAGAAAAGCTGTTACAGAGCAAATGCGACAGAACTGCTACTACAGACAAGAACCACTGATGGAAGCTAATCAGTAAGAGAAAGTACAAGGAGAAACAAACTTTGCAGTCTCAAACTACTGCCCACAAACATACTGATAACAAACAAACAAATAAAACACAGCGGAGAAGCCTACCCAAATAAATGAAAAAACTGCAGACAAAGGAATGTACTACACAACAGGGGACCAGAACTCTTTGGAAGTATGGAATCTTGAAAGACAAAGACTAACTGAGGAGACTAAGAAGATGTGACAGAGAAATCTAATGTGTGGTCCTACATTGGATCCTAGACTTTAAAAAGAAAAAAAATTTGGAAGGAAACAGCCAAAGTGTTAATAAAATCTGTAGATTAGCTAGTAAGTTCAATAATAGAACTGTTTGTATATAAGACTTTATACTAGCAGTAACTGGATGAGGGGTAGATAGCAACTGTCTGTACTATCTAAATTTTCTATAACCCTAAAATAACTTTAAAATTAAGAGGTTATAAAATTATTGTTTTAATGCTTTTGCCTACTTTTTATTGTTTATGTGATCAACCTAAATGAGATTATAAAACTCAGAGCCCAGAGTTGTAAGAAACAAATAAAATAAAATGTGTTTAAAAAATAGTATCACCAGCAATTCTACTTATGGCACATTCTTCAATTTTAAAGCAAGACGTGGGACAGGGGTTTGCATACCCATGTACACAGCAGCATTATTCACAAAAGTCTAAAAGCAGAAGCAATCCAAGTATCTGTGACGGATGAATAGATAAACCAAATATAGGATACACATACAGTGGAATATTTTCAGCCTTAAAAAAGGAATTATAACATGCTGCAATATGCATGAATCTTGAAATAATTAAACTATGTGAACAAGCCACACAGAAAGGATGTATACTACATGACTTTATTTCTATGAGGTACCTAGAAGAGTAAAGTTCACAGAAAGAAAGTAGACTAGTGGTCACTGGAGACTAAGAGGAACAAAAAGTATTTGAGAGTTTCTGTGTGAGATGATGAAAAAATTCTGAAGTTGAAGAGCAGTGACAGCTGTACAACAATGTGAACGGAACTTAATGGGACTGAACTATAAACTTTAAAATGGTAAATTTTATCTTATGTTACCACATAAAAACACAAAGCATAAATGGCAAAATAAAGACACGCACTTGAGATCAACATTAAAAATCTTTAACACATACTGGCTATAAATACCACCTAGTGGTCACATTTAAAATACCAAACTTCATTATCTTCATTGCTTTCCTCAATAATCTCCCTCAAGTTCACTGAATTGGGATCTTCTCCCAACATCAGTGATGGGCTTAGCATCACTAGATTCCACCTCTGATCTAACCAATCTCCCCACGGACTACAAGGATACAGTTTCAAAGCCCTCTGTTTTCCTGAAGCTTTGTGCTATAGGAAGGGTTCCATCTTCAGCATGAAAGCACAGGCCTCTACAATATTGTGAAGCTATGCACCCTCATGAATAAGATCCTAAAATGTACTAGCTATCTAGTAATATCTTGCTAGAAAATAATTTCCCAAATAAAAAACTCATATTCAAATTTAAGTATGAAAGCATATTTTAAGGCCACACAATACATTTTTATTTAGAACAAGCTTGGTTTTCCCATGATGTCTGCTTTTTCACTTCAAACAATGGTGAGCCGATATCAGTCACAAAGCCAGAACTGTGGTCATTTTCACCCAAATGTATACACCGTACAATTTGCTTATATAGAGACAAAATTTCACTATTCAACAAGTGGTCATAGGAAATCTACCTAAGATCGTGGGGATAAAGACAACAGTATTAATTACATTTAGAAAAAAACCAAATATTATATAATCTTACTTAAGCTTACTATGAAAAAGCTGAAGTATATAAGTACCAGGTTGCTTTCCAGAACTGTTCTTTCAAATATCAATTCTATGGGCTCAAAAATGTTTTAATACGTGGTTTTTGTTGGAACATTTATTTAGGGGACCAGTATGCTTTTAGCTGACACGCAGATTAATATTTTGCAATGAAGTTACCTTCTTCAAGCTTTTTCTTCAATTCTTCTATTTCTTTCTGAAATTGACGAAGCAAAGCATCCTTTGGATCTTCATTGATTCTAGCTTTATTTTTAATATTCTTAGCACGATTGGCATACCGTAATGTACTGATAGTTTCATCATAATTATAATCTGCTGGCCCAATATTTGCACACTGTTGAATCAGAAATACAAATCATTTCACACTAGTATTAATTAATGCTACCATTACAAATACAGCAAAATAAATGTCTGAAGTACATCTGCACTTTGGCCCTCTTGAAAATCGAGTGTCAATCACATAGGCTTCAAATAACTACTGTGGATTAATAAACATGGTTTACTATAAAAAGATAACCACAAAACAAAAAAAAGTAAAATAACTGATTTTTATATGTTAATCATATCAATTATGGGCACAAGGGCCGGGGATATAGCTCAGCGGTTTGGTGGCCTGCCTTGCAAGCACAAGGACCCGAGTTCAATACCTGGTACCAAAAAAATAAAATAAAATAAAATAAATTATGGGCATAAATTGGAATCTTATATTTGTGCTCCCTTCAGAAGCACATATAGTAAAATTGGAGTCTTAAGTTTGCCTGATGCAAATTTAGGCTTACCATCATGGTTTTCGAGTTTCCTCCTAAAGAATCCTGAAGAAGACGAGTTAGCTTGGAGTTACGGTAAGGCACATGAGTGCTTTTTCCGTCAACCAAGGCAGAAATTACATTACCAAGGGTGGAAAGGGAAAGATTGATTTTTGTAGCCTCCTTTAGACGCTGTCCTGTAGCTCCAGTTTTTGCTTGTCTTTCTGAGCCCTAGCAATAAACAGAGATGAAAGTCAAGCTAAAAAAAACCCACAGAATATTCTTCCCAATATTTTTTTAAAGTAATTTAACAGTAAGAATGGATAAAAGGTGGGTGAAAGAAGACGAAACAAGACTGAATGTAGGGATCATTATACTATTCTATTTACTTTCATATCCACTTGAAATATTCCATAATAACAGTACATAAAACACACATAAGTAACATCTTAAAGATCATATGTAATTCACACCTTTTCAATCTTTATTCATTTATGAAATAAATATTACAAGGAAAAGTTACTCCTTTAGCACCTGACTACTTACAGCAAGATCGACAAGATGCAGCTTCCCCATCCTGACGTGCATGTTCCCATCCACGCCCTTCTCACTGCACTCGATGGTGATTGTGAAGATGGCGTGGGAACGCGAGCTGTGTTCATTCATGTTGGTTGCACCAACAGAACCTTTATTGGAGGAAAAAGTTAAAGTTGTAATAGAAAGTTAATAGAAGATAATTAAGTATCCAGAATAGATTTAAAATACTTAACTTCATCACAATCAAAGGCCACAGCACACGACTAAACCATAAAAGTGCAGATGTGTACTTAGGTATTATATGAAAATTTTCTTTTCATTTATGTTAAGAATGTTTTCATACTAAAGTAGAGTTTCCATCTCAAATACTACTGAATAAAGACATTCTGTAAAGCATTTATTTGGCCATGGTGGTGTGCACCTATAGTCCTAGCTATATGGGAGGCTGAGGTAGGAAGATCTCTTAAGTGTCATAATTGAAGATCAGTTTAGGCAATAAAAAATAAAATCTTAATAACTGAAAAAATTATTGCTGATTCTGCTGTCTCTAAAGAGAATTACATTCTGCGACTCTAAGCCACAAAAATACTTGAACATATGCATTAGATAAAACAAGAATATTCAGTGCAGCATTGTTTACAACAATGAAAGACCAGAAACAACCAATAGGACAATGGTTAACAATAGAATAGTCATATTAGCGGTCATGTAAAAAAGGTAAATCTGTATCAAATAACATGAAAAGATGCTCACAGAATATGAATTTTTGGGGGGGTATTGGGGATCAAAATCAGAACCTTGCACTTGTGAGGCAGGTGTGGTGCCACTGAACTAAATCACCCACCTAGCATTTGAATTTTTTAAAAAGCCAAGTCAAGGGCCGGAAATTTAGCTCAGTGGTTCTGCCGCCTGCCTCCCAAGAGCAAGGTCTTGAGTTCAACTGCCAGTACCAAAAAAAAGCCACATCAAAGAGGAATATACTGTATATATACTGTATATTCTGTAAAATAAAAATATTCATTTAAAAATACTAACATTTGTGTACTTAGATTGCATGAATAGATTATATAAGCAATATGCATATATTTAGGCATATATTTAGTTTTTCTTAAATTCTGAAGTATTTTAGCATTCATTTTACCCAATGCCAAAATTATCTTCCTAGTGTACAACATTCATGCAGAACTTTTCTACGCATGCTTTGATTTTCCAATTAGGACATTAAAAGCATATTCTTTATTAGCACTCAACTATTAGAAGTTGCAAGATTTTAATGTAAACTGCACAGATAAAGCCCAATGAAAGAAGGTCAATGAAAAATGAGTGGGCGAACAAAGAAACTATGTATGTGAGGTGATAGATACCCCAATCACATTGATCTGATCATACATATAACTGTACTGAAATGTCACACTGCATTCCACAAACAAGAGTAATCTCTGTGTCGCTAAAAATAAAATGCTTTACTGGGGCTCAGTGGCACTGTGCCTGCCTGGCAAGCACAAAATCCTGAGTCCCCAGTACCAAAGAAACAAACAAACAAAACACACTTTACCTTGAAAGAAATATGAAATTTTAGCTCATGATGTGCATGCTGTAGTATTTAGAAAAAAGTACACTGACTTTTTGCAATTTACTTTGTTTTGTTTTGGTTTGACGGCAGAACCCCTGAGCTAAATCCCCAGCCCTGTTTTTTTGAGATAAGGTCCTGCTAAGTTGTCCAGCTTGGCCTCAACCTAGTGGTGATCCTCCTGCCTCAGCTTTCTGAGTGCTGGGATTATAGGCATACACCACTACTCCTGATGTGATTTACTTTTGAAGTACATGAAATGATAAGGCAGAGGAAACAGTGGGTAGACAGATAAGTAAGCAAGGAGAGTGGGTAGACTCATAAGAATGGTCACTGTAAAAATGTTGAGCTTGCCTGCATGTTTGAAATTTTTCATGATGAATTGTTGGCAAAATTTAAAAAAACAGAAAAACTGAAGGTCTAAAACAATTACTGAAAGGCAACACAGAGTCTTATGATTCTATTATTATATTTTTTAGTTTCTTTTAAATAAAAGGATGACTCTTTCCCCAAAACTATACTGACCAATAGTGATACACATACATGTTTCCACAGACTAGTAGGTCTTACTTTATCTTCTGAGGTTTTTTCCATTTACTATTATCTCCTACGTGTATAGTGTGTTGTACTATAATTATATAAACCAGTATTGTGTTGATGATTATTTAGATTGTTCATATCTGAAAATACTTTTCTAGAATATGTATCTACAAATAGAAACAATGGGTCAAAAAGAACATATTTTAAAAATATCCACAGATAGTATCCTTCTAAAATGCTGTACCAATTTCCATTCCCACTCAGTACCTATATCTTCAAAGGAAAAATGAATCTGGGTATTTTTTATCCAATTTGATGGGTGACATATTTCTCATTGTTTTAATATGCAGTCTCCTGATTTCTTGTGAAGTTAATATTGTATCCTTATTATATATATGTAGCCATATGACAATTTAGATTAGCATTATTTAAAAGAAATAAAAAACTTGGTCAGCAAAGAAAACAATCTCGTGTTATCTTTCATTCATATATGTGCCCTTACATAGTAAACAGTCAAAGGGAAGTTTTCAAGAAACCTAAAAATCCAGAATCTATAGGCTAAGTGCTACACTAGTTAATTCTCAAGCAGCCTATCCAACATCACAATTATTACTATACTCACGATTTTTGTGGCCTAGCGTCATGATTCTATCCATATCATCAGCATTATTTACCACATAAGCTGATAAATCTTTGATATAAACTCCTACATCAGGTCTTTCTTTAACCTAAAATAAATCAATAAAGAAATACTTTACACTTACATCAATAACTCCTCCACAATTATTTACTGAACTTCTACTAAGAATTTGGTACTTTACAAGACAGTGAAGATACAGATATGAACAAGATAAAATCCCTTCACTCCAGGTGGTAAAAACTGATAGTATGAACATATAAACCACAAAAATTATTTTATTTCAGCTGGGATGATGCTATTAAAAAATACGAGTCAGACTATATTATAGACGCTAGGGTAGTGAAGGAGACAGGATAAATGGCCCCGAGATGATACTCAAACTAAAACTTGAAGAAGAAATAGGAGGTAGATTATCTGGTTCAGTGTAGAGAGGATAAGAAAATGTGCAACATCTGAAAATGGGGGTAAGGGGGACCTAGGCACTTACAAAAAATAAAAACCAAACAAAAGATGCAATATTGGGCTGGGGATTTAGCTCAGCAGTTCGGTGGCCTGCCTTGCAAGCGCAAGGACCTGAGTTCAATCCCCGGTACCAAAAAAAGAAAAAAGAAAAAAAAGATGTAGTAGCTGGAAAAAATACAAGCCAGATATTTGGTTATAGAGATAGGCAAAGACAAGACTAACAACAGTCATCAGTCTTTTTTTTCGTGAGTGTAACTAGTAAAATATATTCTCATCATATTAATTACTACAAAGGGAAAAATTATAACTTTCCCGTGGAAAACCTGACAGACAACATCTTAACCAAGAGAACAAAGTTAAAATTACCAAGTAGTAGAAGTTAGTATAACAAGCCCCTAGAATGATACTATAACAGACTGGGAAGGATATTTCTTCTCTAGTGTTCTTCCTAAAGAAACAGCATAAATCTAATGAGGACACTGGATAGACCCAGCAGAGGGCTGGACTAGAACATAAGTAACCTGGCTAGTTTCTCAGATCTCTTCAGGAGAAAACACGTTTCATAACGTGATGGCAAATGAAGTCATAGCCCCAAACTACCCAAAAGGACACTGTAAAAACTGAATTACTCTAAACACTGTTAAGTATGATCTATCAGGCACGCTCGCCTCCCCAGTTCTTACGCAGGACCTTGGGCTGACTCCAGGACCAAATTAACACAAGAGATGAACAAGAGAAAAGAATAAAGTTCATTGATTTTATACATATAAAAACACCCTCTCAAAGGTGCAAAGACCTGAAGAAAGGAGAAAACAAAATGCTTTTATACTTTTTAGACAAGGAATAGTAATTCTGTGAAGGAATGAAGGACAGAAGGCTCTGGACTAAGGGCAGTAAATCCCAAAAGAGTCACTAGGAGGTATTAAGGGTTACTCCAGAGAGCTTCACTTGATCTTAGCCAAAATGCCGAAAGGGATTCCAGAGGTTCTTTATTCAGGTCCAGCAAGGCTCCATCTCTGTAAGGATGAAGGCTACCTTCTCCCTCAGGCACCGGAAAGATCACTCCTAACAGGGTCTTCGCTGCTTGTCAGATGGAGGAAGACAGGCTCAACAACCCTTTCTGCAGCTACAGTTCCCCAGGTGATTTCATCTTGAAGCAGTCAATATATAAAATTGGTGTATTTTGAAATGGTGTGTTCTTAAACCTTTACATGTCAACTGCATTGTAAAAATGAAATGTTTTTTCTTTTTTAGGATGCTTCAAAAGTGATAGAAACCCAGGAAAAAAATTTTTTTTTCTAGATTCAGAGCAAGTCTGTTTGAAAATAAAACAACCTGGCCAAAGAAAATCTGCTGACAACTTAAAGATGAACAGTCATCAGTCTTAATGGTAATAGCAATCTGAAGCCACTGGAAAATTTCAAGCAACTAAATCTAACAATTAGAGCTGTGATATTTGTGTAAAAATATCACCTTTCTAGAAGTTACTTTTGCCTGTTTTGAAGAGTGAATTTAAGACAGAATTACCTAAAATACAGATATTGCTGTATACATAAAATTCACTGTGGAGGGCCTAGAAGACACAAGTTGACAGGATAAGGTGAAACTGAGCAGACACCTATTCAGGCCAGTGGGTAAAGCCATTCTACACCTCACAGCAAAAGGCAAAACTGTGAAGAACAATTCCAGGGGCAGAAGTTACGAAGATAGACACTTCAAACTGCAGGTGTTTATTCTGGACCTAGTTGGGGATTTTGTGTGTCTTTTTCATAATAGTTTTTAAGATTTACAATTTTCCTTTTTTTTTTTTTTTTTGGTACCGGGGATTGAACTCGGGTCCTTGAGTTTGCAAGGCAGGCCACCGAACCGCTGAGCTAAATCCCCGGCCTATCCTTTTTCTAAGATATAAATTAACCCCAGTTTTATAGTAATAAAGAGTATGGTTTCCACAAGCTCGTGGGCTTCAAACTTTGCCCTGAGAAGCTTCCCAGGACGATGGTGACACTGAAGGGGCTACTATGGGGACCCAGAGTCTCCAGGTCCAGATAAGTCCTAAGGACAGCCACACTTCCATCTGTTTACATGTGCTGCTTCTGCATCAGGGGTGGACTGGTAAAGGTATTCAGATGCTTTAAACCTTGTTATGGCTTGTGTTTCCATGTCCCCCCAGAGCCTCATGTGAATGAGGAGGGGCTACTTAGAAGGTGGCTGAATCTACAGTGTGTGATTCATGGCACAGTGGTAGGCCCAACAGCACTAGGACTAGTCTGACTAAGATAAAAGGGGAAGGGAGATGCTGTTAACTGTCTTGTGCCAGCCATATTGTTTCTTCCCTGTGATGCCGGTCTGCCATTCACCCTGCCTTGGAGACAGCTGCTTATGGACTGAAACTCTACAAACTGTGAGCTAAAGAAAGCTTTCCTCCTTTAACTTTGGGTGTTGGATATTTTGTCTCAGCCACAAGAGAAAAGTAACCAAGACAAACCTTTTTTTTTTGGTACTGGGGATCAAACTTGGGTCCTTGTGCTTGCAAGGCAGGCGGCAGAACCACTGAACTAAATCCCCAACCCTAAGACAAACCTTTTTAAAGGCTTAAAAATTACTGGTTTGTAATAATGCTTCCCAAAGAGGGTGGAGGAGACTGTGGTAGAGAATAATGTATACATATCTAATCTGTCAAACTGAAAAAATTTTTAAATACAAAAATCATATACTTGGTTGCTATGGCAATGAAAAGTGGCTATAAAGTTTTTAAGCATCTACTTTCACTCTCCATGTTCATCTCAATGCCCGTTAGAAACATTCTTTAAACTAACATCTGCCTATGAATTACTGGTCTTTATCAACAGTAAAATTTTTCTAATCAAAATATATTAATTCAAAATTCAATTAATAAATATAGATAAATGATTAGTTGTAAAATAAAAAGAAATAAAATATCCTAAATTTGTAAAGTTAAAAAAGCTGGGTAGCAATGCTGCCAGAGAATTTTTATCATGGGCTGGGGGTATAGCTCAGTGGTACACTGTGTTCTTAGGGTGCACAAAGCCCTGGGATTAATCCACAACACCAAAAACAAGATCTTAAGTCATAAAAACCATGAACTTAATTTTTATAACAAATATAGTTTGTAACAGTAAAACAATGCATCTTAATGAAGGTTGTTACTCCCACACCCAGAATGTTTTAGGAATCTGTGGGGGAGTTTCTGGTTCACTTGAAAAACAATTAGCATTAAGGACTAAGAGGGTAAAAATCCTTAGTATTACCCAAAGCACAATTGTCCTGAACAATGTTCAATGTCCTACCAGATACGGGCAAAAAAACCTATTTATAATTATGTGAGTATCAGACCCAGATAATTACATCTATATAGAACTTTAAAGACAAAGTGCTTTCCCATGGTACCAGCACTGACAATGATATAACACGGTAATAAAGGAAGAGTGAGGAATATCTTTCTCAGAACTTTATCAAGGGCCAGTTACCATTCCAAAAGACCATGACAATAACACCAATCAACACGGAAGTCCCTGTGGCATGGCATCTGCAGCTACTACAGTCGTGGCCATTCTACATGCCTGTAACTTCTTCATTGTGTCATCAACCGTGTCCCATCTAAACGACGTTTACTCATTATTATGTTCTGTATAAGGCACTGGTTTAAACACTATGCTTAAATTTGTTAACACTGGCAATAATCCTATGAGGTGTATACTATTATTCTTTCCATTTCCACTTGATAAAACTAAAGCTCATAGAGGTGAAGTAGCTATGAGGTTAAGGAATAAAGATCAGAGCCAGAATCTAAGGTAGGAGAGCAGGATCCCAGAAACCACTGTTCTTCTTAATCCTAATTCTACTATTCATTTACTTACTACATGTACATGAATCCCCCTAAATTTGTTTCCACATCAGTAAAAGTGAACTCCCGGGAGCAGTACATGAAATAAACAACACAGTACAGCTAGCAGCTATGGTGAATAGCACTGAATACCCACACCACATTGTAAGGGCTCAGTAATGGTAGCTGATATTATTCTCCTGTATTTCTTCTATACAATTCTGAAACGGTGGCTACTCTTACTCTGTATTCTATTCTATTACTCTACACACATTATTCTCCTCTAATTACTTTAATGACAATACAATGCCAATCAAAATTCCAATATTAATATTTTAAAGGCTAATCTGCCTTTGCTATGTGTCAATGTTAAAAATTTGGCAATATCTATTAAATCTGCTACACATTTACCACCTGACTCAGCAGGCTTGCTTCAGTAATTACAACAAGTAAAAGTAACAAGGTTACTTAAAATATTAAAAATGTCTTTTGTACAAAAAGACCTTACTTTGGTAAATATTGCTGTGGAACATACCCCAACTTCAGTCATCCTTACCTCTAACCTCTGTGTCTGGTCCTTGCCCAAAAGGTCACGAACTTCTTCATTATATATTTCCAAATATGACACTCGAACCAAAAATCTATAAATAAATAAATCTATAAACAAATCTATAAATATTTTAGTACAAAGTCAATAAAACATTTATAATTTTTTTAAAGTTTCTAAAATGCTGATCTATGTAGTTTTCCTATGTTTGCACTTCTCAATACAAGAAAACAATTCTCTTTTACCTTGTATCACCTTCTGCTTTTGCAATATGACCAAATATGTGTGCAAATGAATTGGGAATAATTCCTCTAAGTTCAGGAACAGCTCGAACACCTTCCATGGTAAAAGTTTTGCCTGTTCCGGTCTGACCATATGCAAATATAGTCCCTGAAAAAGAAAAAGAGAATCAGTCACTTTTTAGAGTCTACTGCTACAGAATAACCCTCAAAAGTAATTCCTTTTACAACGTAATGGGGCAAGGGATTTAGCTCAGTGGTTCCATTGCCTGCTTCACAAGCACAAGGACCCAAATCCAATCCCCAGTACCAAAAACAAAAACAAAATAGACAATGTAATGTAATTTATGTCTTGAATTCAAAATTTAATCTAGTAAAAAATTCACCTTTATTATCAAAATATATCACACTACTCTGTGATATATAAAGCACTATTATAGCATCAGAGTCAATGAGATGTTTCTAATTGTCAATAAAAAGTAGCCTAAGCACTCAATTCAAGATCTTACCATATAGCTAATTATAAGCAATTTTAAGAACTGTATAAAGAAATTATAAGAAATGCATATATTAATTGCTTATGGTGGGCATTAAATTGGAGAAGGCAAAGAAATACAGCACAAGCATATAGCCCCTAGAGCTGGTCAACCTCAGTCTGAACTTGTACCTGCCACTTTTGGGCTACTTGACCCTAAACAAGTTATCTGACCAGAGATTGCCTCTTCAGCTAAAGAAACTGGAGGGCCCTAACCACGTAGGGTCAGGATGACTATATTATTTTGGGTCTTATAATAAAAGCAAAGTGAAGCCACAGAATGATCTTTCTGTCAAGAGCAGCGGCACTGTGATCACTATGGCTATGTCATGGATGAAGCAAGGAAGCAAGGGTAGATATGGAAAAACCAGTTGGAGAGGTAGAACAGTGGCCAAGACAATGCAATACAAGATGGCCTAGGCCCTAGGGTGACAGCCATGAATGGAAAGTGTTCTTGCACTATGAATAGCCTATCCCACTAACAAATGACATGATCATTTTCAGATTCTTTAATAAATATAATCACAGCACATACCATAGTTTTTTGGGTTTTTTTCATTTTGTTTTGTTTTGTTTTGTTTTTTTGTACCAGGGATTGAACTCAGGACCTTGTGCTTGCAAGAAAGGTACAGTACCAAGGAGCTAATCCCCAGCCCCACATAGAGATTTTTTAAAACACCTACACTTTTTTCAAACTGCTAACTATTTCAATCTCTGTCACTAGGAATATAACTTACTACATTCAAAGTAGCTAAAATTTTATGAACTCCTAGAAATACAATGAATTATCCAATAATAAGCTGTCTAATGAGCATAGCTACTATTTACTGATCATTTACTATGTGATAGACCAAGTCCCTTGTATGCATTATTTTACTTTCACCCTAATCCTAAGGGATAGGCATATTTGTACTTCCACAATTTATTTAGAAAAATGGGGATAAATGTTGAGTAAATGAGTCAATGTCATAAACAGCAAAATTCTAACATAATCCATCCAGCTCTGAGCCCATATATATTTTTTATCCAGTATGCAAGGGCCAAAAATTTTAATTCAAAATTAGTTCCTAATTCAACTTCCATGAATGCATTAAATTGATGAAGATTATAAAAAGATACCAATCTATACTTTTTAGAATTGAGAAAAGCCAACCAGGGATTACTAACAATGAGAGAATTTCAGAGGACAAGACATTTTCGGAGACAAGAGTCAGAATTTCCGGTTTTTAAATGTCAAGCTTCATTCTAATGCTATAAAGTTTCCTTCAACATGAACTTCTCTTAAAATATTACTTTTAAAAAAATCTAAAATGGCACTTGGGAGGCTGAGGCAGGAGCAATGCAAATTTGAGTAAAAAAAAAGTGACTAAAATGTTTTATTGTCTCATTTCCTATGTATTAAAAATACTAAAAGGTTTGCACAAAAACCTACACTTGAATGCTCATAGCAGTTTTACTGATAATTGTCAAAACTTGGAAAAAATAAAGTTTTCAGTAGGTGAACAGATAAACTGTGATACATCCAATAAACTAATACTCAGGCCTAAAATTAAATGCGCTATCAACTCAAGAAAAGAAGGGGATAAACTTAAAAGCTTACTACTCAGTCAAAGAAGCCCATCTGAAAAGGTTACAAACTGTATGTCATTCTGGAAAAGGCAAAACTATGGAGGCCGGAAACCCATCAGTGCTGCCAGGCTGAGAGGGAGGTGAGCGAGGCAGCACAGATCTGAGCCTGTGGACACCGCAGGGCTTTGCATGCACTGTCATGTCAGGTAGGAACCGCTGCACATCTGCCCAAGACCACAGGACGGACAGCACCAAGAGGGAACCACCAAATAAACTGCGGGCTTCAGATGACACTGACTCACACATGTGCTCCTCTGCAGTAGGAAGGCCATCGCGGAGGAGACTGTGACTGTGCGGGGTGGGAATTACATGAGAACCTGCTGTATACGCTGCCGTGAATTTTACTGTAAACCTAAAATTACTCTAAAAAGCTTATTAATTTTTTAAAAATATTTTATTTATTTTTTTATTTATTCATTTATTCATTTAGAGACAGGGTTTTGCTATCTCACCTAGGCTGGTCTCAAAAGCCCAGGCTCCCACATAGCTGGGAGCTCCCACTACAGCATCCAAGTAAAATTATTTTTAAATAACAGAAAGATCACTGGGCATGGTGGCACACACCTGTAATCCCAGCACTCAGGAGGCTGAGGCAGGAGGATCGCTGTGAGTTCAAGACCAGCCTGGGTGGGCTACATAGTGAATTCCAGGGCAGTCTCAACTACATAGTGAGACCCTGTCTCAAAAAAAAAAAAAAAAAAAAAAAAAGAAAGAAAGAAAGATCACATATTTGCCCATCAGAAACCAAAAAGTTATAGCTAAATGACATTTTAATAATGAACAGTAAACTGCATTATTTATTACAGCATTATAATTTTTGTCCTTTTTCATGTTTTTCTATTGTTACAATTTTCAGTAAGCATGAGACACTAGAAAATAATGTCCAAACTCTTGATATTCAAATACTATTCTGTATAACATTTATTTTTAAAAACATACAATTCTTTTAACTTAAAATGAAACTAGTGAACACTTGTGCTTCCAACTAAGATGGAAAAGGACAAATTTACCTTCTTGATAGAAATTGTGATGACAAAAACATATGAAACAATAGTTTGCAAGACAGTGAACACCAATCAGTAAAGGACTGTGATTTCTAAAGGATGGAAAATAGGTGAAGCAGGTCCTATGACTGTCCCCTTTTCTCTCTTAAGAGAAAATTCCAGCATGGAACAGGAGGGGTCCCTGAGCATACGTCAGCAGACTCCCTGAATTAAGGACAAGGTACCAAGAGCTCCATAGTGAGACTGCAGGGCCAAGGAGGCATGAGCTGCAAAGCTGGATCTCAGCCATCTGTAAAGTACCCTTGAGTGCTGACCACCACAGGAGTAAGGGGAAACCAAAGCAAGCACTGGGAAAGACAAACTGGCAGAACAGGAGGGATGGATGCTGACCATTCACAAAAGGCAGGAACAAGATCTGTTCCCACCATGCAGAATGGAAAACCCCGTGATTCACAGGAAGTTAGGCATAGTGTACAGGAGTGTCTCACCTCAGCAGTGGAGAGCAATTAGCTCTGGAATACATATGGCTCTGAAATTTACTAACAAATTTTTTTAAAAGATATGACCCATAATGAAGAAACTAACCAATTCATTAAAACTAAGTTAGAGGGCTGGGGATTTACTTCAGTGGTACTGGTGCCTGCCTGGCAAGCACAAGGTTCTAAGTTTGATCCCCGGTACATTAAAAAAAAAAAAAAATAGAAGTCAGAACTGACATTGATGTTAGAATTAGCAGACAAGTACATTTAAAAAATTATGAAAATTATACTCAATATGTTAAAATTTTAAGAAGAAATGTGAATGAGAGATACAAAAATCCAAATAAAACTTGTTAGAGATGACTACTATGATGAGTGAAATGAAAGATACAACAACAAACAATGTCAGTGGCAGATTAGACACTGCAAAAGAAAGCATTAATAAAGTAGAAAACAAACCAGTAGAAGCAACCCAGAGAGAAAACAGAATACAGAACAGAGCAGCAGTGACTTTATAAGCAGCGTAATTTCAAGCAGCTCTATGTCTTTGGAGCTCCCAAAAAGGTGTAAGGTGGGAAGAGAAAGAATATTTAAAGAAATGAGCTGAAATATTCTAAAAAATTCATAAAAATTACAAATTCACAAAGCTTAATAATCTACAAGCACAAGAAACACAAAGAAAATATAACAAAAATATAAATTGCAAGAAACCAATGATAATGAAAATCTTAAAACAACAAAAACAGATCCAGAGGAACAAAGGCATATTATATATATGATAAGGATGTAGCCAGGCCTGGTACCAAATGCCTGTAATCCCAGCACTCAAGAGGCTGAGGCAGGAGGACTGCCACAATTCAAGGTGAGCCTGGGGTACATAAGTAAGTGCAAGGTCAGACTGAACTCTGTAGTAAGAATTTGTCTCAAAAAAAAAAAATGGAACAAAAACTGACAGAACCTAAAGAAATAGGCAAATCTGAAAATATAGTCAGAAAATACAATACGCCTCTCTCAATAACTGACAGATCAAGTAGATTGAATGTAAATATGTGGAACATTTAAACAACACTATAAAACAAATTAACCAAGACATTTGTAGAACATTCTGTTTGACAGCAAAATACATACACACTCAGGCACAAATATATTTTTTTCAAGTACACACAAAGCATTTACTAATAATATTTTAGGATATAAAACAAGTCAAGAAATTTAAGACTCAAATCATACAAAGTATATTCCCTAAAATGAAATTAAACTAGAATAAGTAACAGAAAAGTCTTGGAAAAATCTCAAAAAATCTAAAAACTAAGAACACACTTTTAAATCACTCAGGATTCAAAGAAGAAATGAAGAGGTAAAGTAGAAAATACTTTGAACTGCATTTAAAAATTAAAACACAGTATGTCAAAATTGATGGGAGCTCGGGATTTAGCTCAGTGGTGCTGCCACCTGCCTCCAAAGCACAAGGTCCCCAATTTGATCCCCTAGTACCCAAAAAAAAAAAAAAAAAAAAAAAAAAAA